CCCCCCGCGCCTTCGGCGGCAACAGGACCCAGGGTGCGCAGGACAGCCAGAGCCTAGCTGTGCAAAAAGCCTGCTCCATTCACTTCCCTACACCAAGCGTCAGTATTTGACCAAGAAGGTAATTCTATTTCCCTAGTCTATTTCCCATTCGAGTATTCCTATTTCCTACTGCTGAGTAGAGGGAGTGTATCTTTTCATATCAAACAAAGTCAGCGGAATCGGAAAAGGAACATTCTCTCTCTTTCCTTAAACCCACTATTGGCGGACCCGCGGCTTTCCTGGGGAAACCAGAGGAAATGAAAGAGCTTGGGTTCAAAAGGTCATCTGGACCCTAAAGATTTGAAACAAACAGAAACAGGCTGTGCTGTCCAGGCAAACTGCTGGAGAAAACCGACAAGGAAGAGTTCAAAAAGAAGGTGGGAAGCAAATTGTGCCCCTGCAGCCAGAAGTACCAGAACCCGCTGGAAATATGACAGCCTGCAGTGGTGTTTGCGTTTGTCTTAGAATGTTATACAAAGCCCGAAGAAAGACAGAAAACCGCAGCTTCCCCTTGTTTATTTAATAAATGCATTTAAATGAGCCTGGTGACTGGCTACAGCTCAATTCATAACACCGGGCTATGGCATTATTGTGGTGGGAGAAGCTGCAGTGAAAAGCATTGGCTACTCTGAAAGAAAAGAGCTGATCAGGCCTCTAACAAAACATCTATTTACATAATTGTATACATAGTTACAAATTGTAAGTATTGCTAGTATCTTCCTGATCCATTTTTCCATATGTACATTAAAGTTGTTTGTTTTTCAAAAATAGGGGCCCTCCCTGGAGGCACAGTGGGTTAAAGCAACACTAGGAAGCTAGCTAGCTAGCTGCAGACACTTCAGCAGTTCAATCCCCCGCCCAGGAGCTGACACACATGGTGCATCAGACCTCTCCTGTCTCGCCTGCTGCTCCCCTCAGCAGTGTACTTCATGGATCTGCCTGTTCTGATCCCCACTGTGTCCCTGGTGAATCCTCTCACTGCCCCTGCACCTCTGGCCTGTACCCTAGTTCTTTATGCATAAATAAATAAATCTTTAAAAAAGAAAATGTCAGTTATATTTGAAGAACTGAAATAACAATTGATGTCTAAAGTTTAAATACGTTATAGTGAGTGGGCCATGCTCACACCTCATATAATTATACTAAGTGCAAATTCCATTGCTGCTGAATGGGTCTAGTTAGTCACTCTGGAGCTAGCGTACATGAGCTTGTACTTACCCTTGCTAGGGTCAATAGCTACTGATCATGGTATATAAGAGGAACAGTGTAATTTTGTTTTGGATAGAGAGGACACTTAAAACACAAGGAGTGAAAGTAAAGAAGGAATGTAATTTGGGGGGAAAAATGGACCAAAGAGATCACAGAAAGAATCATTTCTGTGAATCATAAGGAAAATTGATAGTATTTCTGCTAACCTTTTGCCTCAACAAATATGGTGAGTAAAATAAAAACTGAACACTAATTAATTTAGTCATAAATGAAAGACTTAACTAATTAGCGTTGGTGATAGACTCGCCGTTTCTTTATGTGTTTGTATGTCTTATATGTTGTTTATTAGGAAGTGTTAAGAGATGAACATTTCGAACAGTGTCTGATGTTGTCCTATTTAAATGATAAGTTTTGAAATGTGTTCGCCGTGGAAACCTCTTACAGAAAAACTGAAGTTTTGAATATGTTTTATGGGAATAGGCTGACTTACCACATATCATTAAATAACCTTTGTCTGGAAGTGTCCCTGGTCATTTTCATATGGACCGAACATTCACTCTATGGCCCCGTAAGTCCTTGTTTCCTCCATGTTTTTGGAACTTGATATGTCCCGCAAGGTTCGGTAACAGTGTCCCAAAGTCAAAATGACAAAAGAACTTTGCATTAATAAAGAGAACGTAGAGCTGTAGTCAAATTTGGAGGCAATACAGTACCCTTTTCCTTAAACTGAGAGTCTTTTCCTATTCATGTGTCTAAATTTAATTAAGTCTCCTGCTTTGGGAAAAAATATAATGTTCTGCCATGGTATTTGCATACAAAAGTCTGCCAGATTTTTCAGTAACGTATTATTTTTTTAATATATGATTGCTTGATTGATT